GACCTATTTGGATTGTCAGTATACCTGTACTCAATGGTTTTTCGAATGTACAGACGAACTGGAATGTGCGTCAAAGTCTGATGTCTGTCTGGAATGCTGTTACAACGTACAGGACATGTGCAGCAACAAGTGTGACCGGAAGTTTCCCAATGATGTCATGTTTCGTCGCGAGCCACTCATAACACCCGGACAGAGGTACGAAGGTACCAGAACCACCGGAAACGAAGCTATAAAGAAGCGTTTTCAAACACTCACAGGTGCGCTGAAGAAATCATTGGACGCTGGCAAAGCAAGCGAAAATGGAGCAGTTGGCAAACGCAACGAGAACCTCCTCAAAATGATTGGGAAGGCGTGGATTCAGAAGTGAAGACAGTAGCGTATTTACAAGATTGACTTTTCGCTGTCGTTTATGATAACATAAATTGATAAAATTATGCGATATGCCTTTCCGCGAAAAAGAATTGCAGTTTCAAACACATTACATCTATTCTCTTGAAGCCACGTTATCAGTAAAAAATGTAACATTAATTAAGAATTAAAAGGACAAATTGTACGTCATATTTAAAAAGGAATCTCTTCAGAGTATTACAGTATTTCATGACTAGCTTCAATAAACTATGCCAAAGATACAGTGTTATTTTGTTTAGTTATATAAGTTTTAAGTCATCACAGCACTACCCTTGGAGATTTCGTTCCACTTTATCGACAAAATTGTCTGTTCTGCATACACTATTGGTTAAAAAGTACGCTTTTTTTTAGATGAGAGACGATTATTTTCCACCTGTAAGCGAGCACTGTTAATTCCGAGTTTGGTTCAATGTTCGTAGTCATGAGACACAATTTTATTTGATCACTCAGTGAAGTGAGAAAATACTCTTTGACTATTATGTAATACATTGTAGTTTCAGGTACTAAGCCGCTATTTATAGTTGTCTATTACACCGGCTTTAAATTATTACACTTCGATTTATCAAAAGATTTAAAGAGATTTAAGACAGGATATCTAAGCACATTTGTTCAAGCGTTTTATAAATACGGGTCGCATATGTTTCAAAAGAAAATTTCGAATGAAAGTTTTTAATAAAATTAAGTCCACTTTCAGAGAGCGTTTTCAGGAAGTATGACTTTATATATATATGGGTAAATAAGACTGCATTTAAATGCTGAACGCTGAGAACAGGGGATGTACAAATGCATATGTCCGTATGGACATTGAAATATACATAAACAAAACTGTCATTACATTTTACATGGTAGAATAGATATAATCAACATATGTTTGTATATTGTGCTTAAAAATTATCTCAAGATTTGAAAATATAGGGAAATAATTTACCCTCGCCGCAAGCAGCCTTTATCAATTATTTTTCCATTATTTCACACCCACCTTATATATTCCACCATAATACACACACATACGTTGAATATTACTTAAATTCCTATCTTACACCATAATGGATGATAAGCCATTCAAACATGACATGAACTGCGAGAAGGATAACATGTAAATGACATGATAAAACTATACAAGTGTGGCCTTCAGATCGTGTTCGTTCTAGATTTACGCACTTTGCCAGTCAAGGATGGATAGTTCTTAATTACATGTAATGGTCGTAGCAATTTAGTAACAGTCTCTAGTGTCTTTATCCCGTCACAATTACCCAAGCGTCCAATATCCCGTCGCAAATACCTGTGTCAAATATCCCGTCACAATTACCTCAGGGTCAAATATCCCGTCACAAATACCTCAGCGTCAAATATACCGTCACAAATAGTTTATCGTCCAATATTTCGTCACAAAAATCCTCAGTGTCAAATTTCGCGTCTCAAATACCGATACCTCCAATATCCCGTCTAAATACCTCAGCGTCCAATATCCCGTCACAAATACCTCAGTGTCAAATATCCCGTCACAAATACCTCAGTGTCAAATTTCCCGTCACAAATACCGATACTTCCAATATCCCGTCTAAATACCTTAGCGTCAAATATCCCGTCACAAATACCTCAGTGTCAAATATCCCGTCAAAAATACCTCAGTGTCAAATATCCCGTCACAAATACCTCAGTGTCAAATTTCCCGTCACAAATACCGATACTTCCAATATCCCGTCTAAATACCTTAGCGTCAAATATCCCGTCACAAATACCTCAGTGTCAAATATCCCGTCAAAAATACCTCAGTGTCAAATATCCCGTCACAAATACCTCAGTGTCAAATATCCCGTCACAAATACCTCAGTGTAAAATTTCCCGTCACAAATACCGATACTTCCAATACCCCGTCTAAATACCTTAGCGTCAAATATCCCGTCACAAATACCTCAGCGTCAAATATACCGTCACAAATACCTCAGCGTCAAATATATCGTCACAAATCCCTAAACCTCCAATATCCCGTCTAGACACCTCATCATCCGTGTCCTGTAAATGACTAGGATACACTGAAAAGTGTTGGTGGTGATATCTTTCATCTTTCTTGGGATACAACTTCACGATAGGTCGATCTTCATCCAAGGAAATAGTATTATTAACATTAGTTTGTGATACTTGCAGCAATATTTTCAAACTCCATGAAAAGACCATGCGTTTCCTTTGTAATATGTTACGTTAAAAATCACAATTACCCCTAATGTGTTCAATATGATAGAAAAGTTGCATAAAATAACAAAATAATGGCAATGATTTAATCAAGTTTTATTACAATTCATTAATGAAATATAAGAATGAAGACAAAGACAAATAACAACAATAACATTCAGTTATTGTGGTGTCACAGTATCAAAAAAGCATGCCACGGTGCCTGTTGGAAGGTGCTGTAGATTTGATTTATATGGTGATGCTGCTGTTGCTTAGGTTTTTTTTCTCTCCAAAATTTAGTTTAGTTTGTACTGCTATTTTGGTGTTTTACTTTGTCTTAGACAATTATTCTGTCAGAACCTTTTATTGTTACATTTTTGTTTTCAATTGAACTTTTTCTATTAAAAAACTTAACATTAAAGATTTACTAAACTGATCTGTATGCTATTCAAGGTAAAACAATTGAGTCCAATTGAACAATAATTTATAATATTAGTTACACGGAATTTTGGCAGAGTATACGGGATCGGCCGAAGGAAATACGAAATCCTGTAGGGTCATACCGTCCCGTATACCCTGCCAAAAATCCGTGTAACGAATTTATTACCCCTTTGAGTCTTTTATAATAAAAACAAAGAAAAGGCACAGTACCCCATTTAGTTTCGTTTTATCAAATTCCTCGAACTGTTCTTCCTGATTCTTTTCTTTTAAATACGTCCTCAGCATATTTGCCGTTCGTCTGTTCAACTTTTGTGTGTTTTGTGGCACATAGTTAGCCCTTTTGGCGAGTATATCCTCATCAGTATGTGAAGCGAAACGTTTTGCCATTTTGTAAACAGCGAAGCAGACGACGAATGCGAGTTGTCTCCCGTTGCCCGGCCGCAAGATACAAACACACATGACCCGTATACCCCTTGTAAAATCACGTGATTCCACCGTATTACTGCTGAGAATCACGTGACATGACCGTATATCCCCTGAGATTTTCGTATACCCCCTGAGATTTACGAATGCGGTTTGGTACACTGTAGTTTTTGACCAATCAGATTCCTAGATTTTTCTCAAATGGGTAATAAATAGAAATATTTCCTTTGTACATACTCCGCTTTTAGCTCTATAGCATCCTCAATATCCAGGGTTACGCTCACTTTCGCTATTATAGAGCGAAAGTGTGAGCGTAACCCTGGATATCGAGGATTGCTCTATATGTGCTGAATTTGAATTACGGCTTTCTTCACTCTTAGGTACCCGAGTTTTGTTTATTATCCTTCGTGACTTTTATGCGAATTTTTAGAACAATTTAATATTTCTTGGCTGTGAATATACATATTATTATACATATATACTTAATGCTAGACATTTCCCCTACGCTTTCATCGGCTGGGTCATAATTACATGGAGGTCGGCAATTTCTGATATCGACTCGTTATTACATTTGCATACGTTTTATAGGTGTAATGATTTAAATATTATTAAGCATCTAAAACAACAATTCAGAACGTTTACTTCGATCATTGTCCTCCACTTCGTCTCAAATAATATCATTTTCTCAAGTCCATATCACCACACATTCACCGATTTTTTTTTATTATTACTTGATTAATATTTATCAATATATCAAAAATATAAGAATTATGTTTCCAGTATATATAAAACAGCACATATTCCTGGTTTATTACCGTTCGTTCAGTACTATATAAAACATAAAACACAATGTTTGGGTAGCATCCTCACTTAGCGGCCATTTATATCATGTTAAAAGATGTTATCAAATCGAACAGAACGGTAAAACACTTTATCAATCTTTGCGCATCAGTTTGCTTTATGGGATATAAACAATATCGATTTTATTTTGCCTAATTGACTTGTAATTAAATATTACGGTTTTTTGGAGTATCAATATAATTGACCACAGTGTGACAAATTTGTACAAACATATAACGAGAGGCTATAAATATTTCATCCAAAAACTGATCACTGGAATGACAAATATTGATTCGAATACGCGCGAAACATAAAAGTAGATTTAAGATTACAATGGATTGGTTTAGTTTGGTTGTTTGTGTTTTACGTCCTATTAACAGCTATGGTCATTTAAGGACGTGCCAGGTTTTGGTGGTGGAGGAAATTTAAACCAGGAGTTCTTGAAGAAAAACCACTGACCTACGGCCAGTACCTGGCAATTGCCCCACGTAGGCCTCGAACCCGCGACCCAGTGGTGGAGAGCAATAGTGGTACAGGGAGAATGTCAGACGCCTTAACCACCGCGGATTACAGTAGAAAAAACACTTGATGATAAAGGCGTCGAAAGTCCAATTTAAAATTTTTAACAACACAAACTATGTTCAACGCATATAAGTACAAAATATACTGAAATTTCATATACATAAAAAAAAGTATATGTGTATGTAACAAGGAGGTAAATATCAAATACAGCTGTCTGCTCGGCGTAGGTCATACTGTACTAGGGATCTCCTGTCCTTATTTGCGGAGTTATATCTAAGTAAGTGGCCGTTCGAATCAACGTGCCATTTACATATACAGGAGTTCGTCCTCCGGTTCTGGTAACCGTCCGAGTAGTGTCGCTGTACTCCATCACTGTCGTACAAACTCTGTCGAGAATTTCCCGTCATGCCGTTATTCTCGATTTTGTGACACTGGCATGCGCACTTCGATGAGTTAGGGTTGAGCGATGCGCGATAATAGCGCTGATACTGAAGATATGCACGCTTTCGACATATTCGTTTCAATAATTCCATTTGCACCTGTAAAATAAAACCATTATAACTCATAATAATAAAGATAATTCGAGGTTCTTATTTACCGCTTTATCACAACCTAGTTTGTAGGTCGTCTCAAAAGCGGTTCACAAATTATTGTCCGTGGTTATAGGGCCTTTATCATTCTCAACTCACTTGGGAGCATACAGCCGGTGCTGCCATTTTGGCGCTCACAGCTAGCATTCAGCAATTCTAGCACTGCCCAAATATGTACTCGTTTACAACTGAGTAGACTGGAACAAGCGGAGTGAAGTATCTTGTTCAAAGATACAACACCGTGCCGTGACGTAACTCAAACACGCAACCCTTCGGTCGCGAGCCTGGCGTCCTACCACTGGACTTACGTGCCTTCATACATTGGATAAGATGTTAAAGCTCATAACAAAATCAGAATAATTTACCAAAACAATACACACAATTTGCAAATTATCGTAGAGAGAATAATATATATATATATATATATTGATCAAATATACATGTCACTTTACAGAACAGTTACAAAATAATATTCCATTATTACTTTAAGCCATAAAAACATTGATGCTCATTTAATGCCATGACTTGTATACATCAATGCGTAGTTATTTGAAAACATACCTCTCCATTCATGAAGCAGAACAATATAGCAACCACTAATCCCTATAAAATAAACCAAACGATATTGAGTACATATTCCATTAATCATTTATAAATGTTGGGAACATTTATCTCTGTAAATAATTGAATTTAATACCAAGTATTACGTGGTTTCATTAAGTCTTTGGCTACTGACATCGCAAAACTAGATTTGCATTAAATTTAGAGTGCCAATAAAATGCCATTTTAATCCGTAGTCTTGTATTTTGTTGTCCTTATGTATAGCATACGGTTGTAATTCTCTCATTCCGGATATCGTTTTAATATTAAAGTTAAAGTTAAAGTTTGTTTCCATCACATTACCCGATAAAGCTCTCAAAAAATAAATAAGTGTATGATATGATATAAAGTTAATGTTCATTGTTAATTTCATTCATAATAATGATGTTGTTTATTATACAGTGTATAAACGGTAGTGTACCTGAAAAGAGTTGAAAAACATCTCAAAGTAAAGTTTCACCACTTCCGTTTCCGGTTCTAGCTGGTCAGGAAAGCCGATGAATACTATATAATGAATTCCAAACAGCGGAATAAGGACCAGTGTAGCTTTCGCCAATCGTCTGAAATATAGTGAAATACCCAGTGTAGTCCTGTATATCAGTTATATTCCATGTAAAAAAAAGAAAGAATCTAACGTAAATTCGCGTTGAGCATTGGATTGTGAATTCAAAAATCACACAAATTACAAGAATTCATTTACATTTCTATAACTTACGACATGCAAGTCAAATACATTGAGAATAACGTATACTCGCGAATAAGTTCACAGAAGGAGATGAAGTTAATCAACAGTTTAGTTGAACACGTGACTTGTACAAGATACGAGATACAAGAAACTTCATTTAACGTCGCATACAGGTAAACAAGGAACATTAGCTCTTGAGAGCTATTATTGCGACAAACATATGTAAAATCAATCTAATTAAAATAATATCTTCGCATCGCTCCCGTTTACTGCGACATATCAGTAAACGGGCGCGATGTGAAGATATGATTTTAATTAAATTGATGTAAAATAACAATAACACATTATATTACAAGTAAAGGGAGATAATCACATACATTATCTCCCTTTACTTGTAATGTAAAGTGACACTCTATCAACACATGTGGACATAGTATTTTATTTACTTTATATCGTGGCAGCGATACAGATTATATAGAGTTACAACATCAAACACATATAGTTCTATAGCACACCAAGTGCTGTACCCAGGCCATCCCAGTCCCCTCTGACCGGGGCCTTCCCTGGTTTCTCTCCAGAGGCTCACATTCCCGAAGCTCGAATCCCGACTCCCTCACTCTAGACTCCTAGCTACTCTAGACTCCCGACACTGGACTACTTCTTAAATAATCCCCAAGTTCTTTTTACAATCTATACAACATTGACTATTCATAATTCATAAGTAATGAGGCACGTACAGCAATTTAATATAATTTTTTATCTAACTTTTAAGCTGACTTTTCCATTCCAAACCAATACAATACTAGATGCACCACATGGCAACGACAGTAACCCGGTCTGTTTTGAGGAGTTCATTCTCTCGTCCCTATCCCTATGTCATCCGTGATGGACCTGGTCGCCACTAGATGGATAGCCCTAAAGCACTATCGACACTTCAACAGCCCCTCTGTCAGCCAATGCACGGTGTTACCCAAAGATTTCACCCCAAATGTTCTTATAACCAAAGTGCTGCTCTCTATTGATACCCACGTGCACTATCTTACATGTTATAAGATGGTTCCAATCTTTATCATTAATTGCCTAATTATCGGCTTATTTTTTTTTACACTCGTCAGGTTTTTTATTCGGTGAAGAAAAAAATGGCAGACTTACAGTCTCCTTGGACGTGAACATAAATATTTATTAAAAAGAATATAGAGGATTAACATACTATGAAACAGTGAAAGTCATACTGTTTAGGAGTAGAAATTTCATAATCTTAAAGGGACAATTTAGTGAAGTAAGTTTTGTTTATAATGTTGTCACAAAATTCTTCATAGTTATATTCCGTCTTTGCGTATTGCAGAGTTATCTTCTCTTGGGAGCAGGTATTGATTGTTACGTCATTGGTTTGTGTGAGAAAATTACGTCGTTTTCTCAAAAATTGATGACGTTACTCTAAAAAACAAGTGACGAAACAATCAATACCTGCTACAAAGAGAAGATAACTCTGCAATACGCAAAGACGGAATAGTTTGATACTCCTTATGAACAATTCATGTCGAGAAATTGACGAGAGACAATTTTCTAGCTTACAAAACTGTCTTTCCAGCCGAGGAGAGAAGGCAACTTCGAATGATCCATTGATATCGTACTTTTTGCGGTTTGAAATTCTCCCTGTTGCACCGTCTCAGTGCGTGCATGCTCTTATTAAACCTGTTCGTTTTTATTCGAATCCAAATATGAACAGAAGTATCTGACTAGAGGTATATACTATGATATTTATAATTCTTACTTCCGATGTATTGTGTAAATTCAAGAGTGCGTTATGTGTAAACTCAGACTCGGTCAACAGTGTTTACTTCTCACTGAAATGCCCGAATATTCTATTATTTTTATCACAGGCTTTCCCAAAAAAAGAAACTGACCACACTGGACGTTGGCGTCAGGTAATGCCATAATCATCTACGAAAACTTTCGTTGACTAAATAGCCCCTTTAATTCAGGAAGTAAGATGTATTTAGCAATGAAGTACAACCAATATACGACTTCATTGCAACAGGAACGGGTTTGAACCAAAGACTGGATTAATCAAAATCATTGTAGGTTGATCTAACGTTCAATTTATCAGAAGAGATCACATCTCCAAAATACTACAAATATGAAAAATCATTTAAACTTGTTTTCTCGGGTTATCCTGAGATAAAGTTAATAGCAAACCTGATATCTTTTGCGGGTATAACACTGGATTTTATTGCTTACAAAATAACAATAAATCGGTAGACAATTAAAAAACTACAGCGAATAGATTTAAAAAAAACTCATAGCGTCATCTATAAATTGTATGAATAGAATATATTTCAAAGAAATTAAAACATGTTTCTGGGGCACTAGAAGCACTTTCCTTTTTTAAACTGATTTTCGATAATTACACATTTTATAGAAGAAAAGTGGCACCGAAACAGTTTGTAACAATATGCGATGGCTAAAAGCGAACCTATTGTGTTGTGAGGGTCTCATTTAAAGTAAGATGGCATCGCTGTCACTTAAACAATAACTGGTTGTCTGGATGTAATTTTTGTTGATATAATTAAAAGTGGCCTCTGGCAAATCCCATTTTATGGTAGATTTGCCAGAGGCCACTTGTAATTATATCAACAATAATTACATCCAGACAACCAGGTATTTTTTATATTTACATATTTTTCTTTTTTAAGGAGGCTCCACCCTTTCGCAATAAACCAGCAGAACTCAATGAAAGTTTCACACAATGGTTATGTCACTATGAAGAGATGATTTTATGAAAATCTAAGCATTCCGATAAACTGGGGATTTATTTGTAAAAAATACCGAAAAATTGAATTTTTGTCGAATTCAACACTTTCACATTTTTTGAGCGAGTGGCATTGTTCAAAACTATTACGACAATAAAATAATGAATAGAAACATTGCAAGTGAACCCTACAAATATTTTATATATCATAAAATATCTACAACATGTTACAAAAAGCGTTTTTTTATTGAAATTGTATGGATAAAAGTAACTAAATACAAGCTAAAACCAAACAGGACACATAGTTTTATACACAAAGAGTGAAAAATTGAACCAAATACACACAAAGTCTTCATAATTAATTTATTTTACATTTTACAATAATTTTGATCCTCATGAGAGTTGTCTACCTTGAAAACAATCGGAACTTTTTGCAGAGGGATAGAATTTATACAATGACACTTATTTTCTTTACTATACCAAAAACGCTTACGCATGGTATATTAACATGTCATGTACATGCCGTTATTACGTGCACGCACATGCACTTGCATTTTATAGGCATCTTGATATTTTACAAACCACTATTTCACATTGTAATTGCATTTGTGAACCGATATATCTGACAGAGCGTAACTCGCTCGACAACAAAAGTCGTAGCGACCAAGAGCTTGTGAACTACTGTTAGCACGTGATACGTACAGGTGAAGTTGGTAAATAAAACACATCAGTCTGCATTCCATGCGCCTCATATACGGCCTTCTTGAAGTCGTCTGATCGTATGTCAGTGTTTTCCCGTGAGTTAATTAATGTCTTTGTATCATAAGCTTTATTTCCGAAGTACGTGTGACTACACATTTCCAAGTTAAGTCTCGATATCGGGTGTTGACATACCATCGTCAAGCACGTGTACTATTGTTTACCCGGTGTTACTATAATTTACACCACGGTAATGGAATGCCCGATACGCCATACGGAACTGACGACACGAAAATACGACAAGAAAAACATGTGTATTACGAAGGGTGGGAAGTCCTTAAGACATATTCCTACAAAAACCATTAGCCCTGCCTCAAAATACATTTCACGCGGCCATTTTGTTTGTTTACATATTCCTACACCTGAAACAGGCAGTTGTAATTATAGTCGAGCAGTTGTAATTATAGCCTATATAATTACACTTGCCCTCTAACACTGTTGTAATGGGACGGCGCGGGGGGAAATGTAAATATATAAAGATAACGTTTTCAACATTAAACGAAAGGATAAATGAGTAAAATTGATCGAAACACACTTGCCTTTTCCGTCAAGCCTGTTCTCATTCATATAATTTAGTACATTACAATTAATGTTAGAGTTATTTCCCCTACACCCCATTTCCTGTATGGTTTTACCTGAACTTATGCCGTTTCGCTGATTGGGATTTCGGACTTTTCATGTTGGTAAATAATGTTCGAAGGATATTCAGGAATAGAATGAAATTGATCTGAAAACGGAAACAGTCATGATTAACCACACAAGTCCGATTCCAGTTTAAGGTTTCATAATTAGGTTTCAGGAATGAAGCTTGCTAGGTCTATGAACCCATCAATACATTTTTTCAGTCTCCCATCAATACAATTAGCAATTGTTTTCTTTTTCTGAGACATTTAAGCTACCTCTTGGCATACATCTTACAGTACTCGATATTGTTAGACCAATCGCCGTTCATATATAACAGAGTTAGTGTCCAGGTCATTTCTGAAAGGTTGTGCGAACATAAATATTACAGATAATATTGGAAATGTCGGCCGGACAGTTTTTGAATAATTCAACACTCACCATAATACTCAATACCAGCGGGCCTTTAATGATCCAGAAATATCCATGAGTTGGGTTTGTATTCCAGCATCTGAAACACAAAAGATGGTAGGTATGATATACAAAGACAGAAATAAACGAGTACAATTGACCGCGTCAATAACAAAAACAGGATCAATAGGTGAACTTGATGTTCATAGAAAATACCAGAATACGATGGAATACTAAAAGCAAAAGGGAAAGTATATTCCTACAACGAATCTACGCCGTCCAAAGGGATCAAGTTTTCGTGCATCCTATACGTTGTTGTGGTACCAATCAATGTATGACATGACTTAATTTTAAAACATAAATCAACAGTAGGTGATAAAAAATGTTGTAAAATGTATATTATATGCGTCGACATTTTCACACGTTGTTTCGGCAAAGAATGACTGACTTACGGGACAATGAATATAGATCCATTTCCTTTTGTTGTGATGTTTTCTCAATTCCTAATGTTGTCTTTCGTTGTCAAATTCGAGCTCTGATTTTGATATACTTGGCAAGTTTCCACATTTTACCTTTTTTTTTTTTTTTATCGCGTATTAACTATGAATATGATATTCAGGTTACAATCACATTTATTACTAATCCATTACATGTGTAACGTTGGCGAAATGGCAGTGGATAAGTGATTGTTGTTTACGATACATAAAATATTTTCAGTTTCTTCACAAACATTCTCAAACTAGTATTACTCACAGGATATTTTCTTTGGTGATCCGGACGACAACCCATGGAATGATATATAAAAAGGGCGAACCTGCAAAAAGGCCGGATGTAAAAACAAGTTTAAGTATAGCGGGTTATAGGTATGCCTATCCTTAGATACCCTATCCTCTATACGTTTCATGAGCTGATTTATTATACACACTAAATAATCTGTCAGGGTTAAGACTAGTGGCTAACATTAAGACCAACACTTCGTTTTGAAAAACTGATCTGTTTTATATGCACCGTTGTCTTTCAGAGATTCAAACGTCATTACCTTCATGACAGATTACGTCATATTTTCCTCTTTTTTTATTACTTTTCGTCACAATCAATTGCTGAAAATGAAGTTTTCATGTATTTTTATAAAGTATCGATAATTGAATTTCAGATTTTTCCTATTTAAGTTTATACTATTATTTTAGTATTTATAACAATATCCGTTATTCAAGTTCTTCGTTCGATATGTGATCCACCAAACAAGGCTTGATAAAACTTAATCCTGTTTGTCTGCATGGATGGTACAGCGTTAGCAATAGAGGAAAGTTAACTCATTCACCCCTGAAGACACATTTGAACTCCTCCAATTCAAAGGTTGGAATAATTCATTACGAAATTTCAGGGGTGAATGGGTTAATGGTAAAGTGTAACAGTGAAAATACCACATATAGTTCACGGGTAAGGCATTATACCTATATTTTACACGAGCTACATATTCCGCTAGAAATTGAACCGGTGAATATAGATTATTAGCTTAACGTTCTGCAGATCGGGCTGAACAACAAGCGGTCACTTAAAAATCCATCCTCGATCTTTAAGGGGTGCAGGGTACACTAGTAAGCCTAAACCCCTGGAATATTTCATAGCAAAATTGAAGGCACGAAGATAGCTGTTTGATTGGTGTCAGGTAAAAACACTGACCAATCGCTAGGTCGATACCTGTCCTTTGAAGATTACAATGGAGAGACGCCCGATTTCGAAGCCTATCAATTTTTACCGTTACGTGACCGCGAGATTGTTTTGATGTATATCAAAGGATCGAACTAGTATTCTTGTTTCATCAACAAGGGGGGGCACACTGAGCCTTCAATTTTGCTATGACATATTCCAGGGGTGGAGAGAGCGAAAGTGAGCGTAACCCCTGGATATCGAGGATGTTCAAAATCAGAAGGGTTCAGCTTTTAATACACATACCTTTTCAGTACCTCTCGGAATATGAAATGACAGAATGGAAATATCGCAGAGAGCTATTTGATTGGTTTCGGGAATAAAAAACACCTGACCAATTACTAAGCTGATACCTGTCCTTTGGAGATTGCAATGGAGCTAAAATCAGCTGCAATGCCTATTGAAGTAAAGTTACGCTGCTGTACAATTCATGATGTCTTCAGACTAGTCTACGTGTTTTTAATATCCACAAGATGGCGACGATTGCGCCTAATAAGATTGTGTAATGACATACCTGGTATGCCAGGGGTGTAGAGAGGATATCTGTTCAAAGATTACATGCGGCTATATTCTTCACCAATGTGACACTTAAGGAGGTACGTACCCCAGCCGAGTATGACGTAGTATTTGATGCTGCTCCGCTCGGAGAAGACAGACACTATGATGAGAGTGTGTAGGTGTATACCCTCCACGAAGATCCACATGTAACTGGCGGACAGGACGTAATAGAATACCGAAAACAACAACTTACACTCCCAGTGCTGAAACAACAGGGTAAACATATTATATTGCAGCGGTATATTCACTGTATATTCAACGGAAATTCAACGTACACTCCGAGTGCTGAAACAACAGGGTAACATATTATATTGAAGCGGTATATTCACTGAATATTCAACGAAAATTCAACTCACACTCCCAGTGCTGAAACAACAGGGTAAACATATTATATTGAATCGGTATATTCACTGTTTATTCAATGAAAATTCAACTCACACTCCCAGTGCTGAAACAACAGGGTAAACATATTATATTGCATCGGTATATTCACTGTATATTCAACGAAAATTCAACGTACACTCCCAGTGCTGAAACAACAGGGTAAACATTATACATTTGTTGACTGGGTTTGAGGACAACATGTTAAATGCTGAACCAGATGACCAAACTGTTGCGGCAACAGTTTGGTCCTCTGGTTCAACACAACACATGTTGACCGAAAACTCAGTCTACAAATGTTTTGTTATAACTTTTTCAAAATTTCTGACGTTTCCAATTTTGATTTATCTTGAAAATAATCCCGTGGTAATGCGTTGTGCTTTGCTTCAATATACTCTGTTATTAATTTTTCTGCAACTCTGATTACATTCTTGGTGTTTGTACTGTCTCTGTTATTAAGAATTTCGTCAATTTCTGCAGCAGTGTATTCCGAACATTGCAGACGGCCGGAAGCAGACGTGAGCAATACTTCCTATAGGGATGCCACTATTGGTAATTGCTTAACGGCGGAAGTTGCCGAGTAATGGCCGGGAAGTACCGAATAGTATGAGATGTGACGTAAGCAGTCAACATTTCACTCAAACCCCAATCTGATTAAACTTCGTACTACGCCTGAACATTGGAGTGTGCTGCGGTCAGGGTCACGTTCAGGTGACCTTTATATTTATAAATACTCATTAAATTTTGACCAATCAGAGACCCTCTTTCAAAAGGGTGCTCGCAGATGTAACAAATATGTCGGACATTGATGAGAATGATGCGATTGATCGTTATTTGAGATTGATCGTCTGAAACCCAAACAGAAAAAACAATCGAAGCTTTATTAGAGAAGAAAGACTGTATGGTGGTGTTGCCTACGCAATTATTACCCAATGGGTACGTTTTCCTTGGCGTCGTAGAAACGTCAGTCCCCGCCGCCATATTTGTTTTGAAAAACTAATCTGTTCGATACCCCTCGCTATTTATGTAACCACCATGATATTCCGATTCGCTGGCAAACTTTTGCCAGCGCGCCTCTGATTGGTTCATCTAAGGGTCATTTGAACGTGACCCTGACCGCGGCACATTCAGATGTTCAGGTGGAGCCATGTAACAGATGATTTTAATCAGATTGACTCAAACCGAGTCGACATTTCGATGTTGACCGGTCAGCATTTTTCTGAAGCAAACATCTGGAATTTCGAACTTTTTTCACTATACAGGACTATAGAGAATAAAAAGTAGAGGTATAACAAATTATATTTCAACAGAATATTATCGTAAATTCAACAAAAATTCAACTTATATTGCCAGTGCTGAAACAGCTTGGTAATCATATTGAATTTTAACGAAACATTCACCGAGAACTCCAGTTGACTAAGAATAGCAACCTACATTCCCAGTGCTGAAACAAACAGGGTACCTACACATGTTATATTCAACGAACTATTTAATGACACAGCTTGGCAGAACACATTATGATATTTGCCTCCAAATGTTTGTCATTCATATAGACTGTAAATGTCCATTGTTTGATAGAAATTTGAAAACCTGGCTATTATTACATAAAAAATCGTAAGTCATTAACTCTGACGGTGAAATCTGTATAAACACGAAACCCCTGAAAACAGTTATTGCGTAAGGTGAGTAACGACAGATGTAATATCTAGACAAGGAAGATAAAAACATATTATTGTGTAGATATTGGTTATATTTGTGATGAGTTTGTGTTATTAACATCTAGGAAGCTATTGATATTTTTTTCTAGACGTGTCATTATATCCTGAGATTACCTGGAGATGAAACCCCAGCTGCGTATGATTAATACACATATACTCTCTAAAACGAGTGTTGATTTTTCAAGCCGCCGGCAATCTAACATAAACACTTCTAAACGCGTATTATAAAAATAATATCAAGTAAAACGAATGAAAAATTCTTTTCATAATAAATGAATTATTGTCCGTCGTTCTTTCTCGAATTCAACTTTATTTTGCAGTGATGGCCAGCCATTCGTCAACATTTTGAAACTAAATTTAGATTTAACAGCCCGGATTAGGTCAAATACACAGGCGAAACACGAAATACTTCAACACATACATGTAACCACGGATTTTGAAATTGATATTTTTACAAATAACAGCTTTTTGTAACGTATTATTGACACCTGAACGTAATAACATTATGAAATCGTCCTTTTGGATAGTGTATTAACACCACCGGCTGTTGGCAATACGGAATCGGAGATTTGGCGTGGCCACGGTTGATGGTGAGAACTTTTATTTTTTATTTGTTACTTACTGTATATATTAATTCGATAATGCCTAAGCGACTCATTGAACAGTTGTGAAACGCACACCATTACTATAATATATTATATGACGACAGGCGTGACGTCACTGAGCACGACACTAAAGCATGTTAGCTACTTTGCTGTCACCAACGGACGGTGCTTTTTTGCAACTTGGAATTGTTGCGAGCACTGTGCTTCGATAGGTTATTGTCACTTGGGAGACCTTTATTTAGAGTTGACCATTTATAAATGGTTTCGGTAAGTGTGTTTACGTCTGTTGGTCGTTTCTTCAACCAGTGGTCATCATCTTTCATCGTTGTCCGTTACGTGTGTGTATCTATTTAAAACGTAGCACTAGGTTCACAGTGACTTGCTAGCCGTTTATTCTTTTTAAACAATGTATATTTTACTTGAGATCTATCGATATTTCACAATTTTTCCCAATGCAATGAGCGGTCATCACTTAGGTTGTTCCTTTTCACGTTTAGTTAATTCCAATACACCAATATAAATGTTCCTCTTAGTCACGGAATCCAAAATTTAATGAGTTGTGACACAAACGTATGTTTATAATACTGTCAGGAATATTACATCAAATTTGACCCTGTGCCCATAGAATTTCAATAAGCCTCGACCGAAAGAGATTGAGCCATTAGGTTTATGTGTGTGCTCTTTATCCCGTCTTTATCTTCCGTAACGCATTTAGAACTTCTCGGACTTTACCGAATTCATCCTAAAGCTACCATGTGTTTACTCACCGTACCCTCTGTTATAAACAGCACTGTATCTTCATACGGAAGACGTTCCACATCCTTGCGCAGACCGAGGCCCTGAACTAGAAGTGTTTCCTTAAGGATGGAGAGCGTTGCTCGCAGGATAAACGATACAAAAAGGTTCACGTGGACCGTGTTCCGGGGACAGTGCAACTTCCTAGTAAAGTGAAAGTAAAATGATTGACCTGTTTATTTTGTCAATTCATCAAATTTGTCGAATTAAGTTCTTTCATTTATTTCGAATGAAACTGTTTTGAATGAAATAAAGTATTTTTTTCAATTGGAAATTTATTCTGGTTTTTCCTTTTCTAGGAACATGTACATGTACATGCCTTTACGTCGGCACCAACCTTTGAAGAGAGAAATACCTACTTTTTTCAAATAGTTTAAAGTGAATAGTTATTCCAAAAAAACTGCAGCTTTATCATGCAATAAACAACTTGTTCATAACGAAACAGGAAGGAAAGAACTTTCGAAAAAATGCATTTTGTTATTATTAATAAGGTTATAATTACAAAGAACCGCTCACCCTTTCATCCCCAAATAACTTTAATTAACTCTACCATGCATTGATCTGGATGGGTCCATTATTGTCTGCAGTGATTACCAGGTTAATTTGAATACAATATATACTCACTACCATTACTTAATATATAGTAGCAATTCGCAATGTGAAGAAGAAGAAGAAAATTGTAATAGATATATATGATCGCTGCGAGAAAGTCAAGTATGGAAAACACCGGTTTATGTACACTTTTATAAGCTCTATGTGATAAGTAACTGAATATACATTCGCGTCATTAAACTTACCGGAAGTAGGCCATGACGAAGACAGCCAGGGACAGAGACAGGAGAGAGACTCCGTACCCTATGTTGTACATTACCCGGATGTTCTTCATGTGAATCTGTAAAACAAATTGTTATACCATACAATTAACCACAGACGGTGTTACAACACTGTACAAACTGTATACTGGAACTGTAGTATTAACCCGAGGTATTACCCCGAATTCATTCAGTGTATACCTAACAGAAATCACAGCATCAATGCACAAGGTTTATCTTCGGGTACTCCGGTTTCCCTCCACATTAAGACCCCCATGCACTTACAACATCCAGCATCAACCCACAAGGTTTATCTTCGCGTACTCCGGTTTCCCTCCACATTAAGACCCCCATGCACTTACAACATCCAGCATCAACACACAAGGTTTATCTTTGGGTACTCCGGTTTCCCTCCACATTAAGACCCCCATGCACTTATAACATCCGGGCTGACAAGAATGATGAATATAAGTGGAAATAATTTGTTTCATAAAAGTTGTAAAAAAAAAACATATTTATAACACACAAGGACAAAATTAGAATTCTAAGTCGTTATAACAACAAACGTATGACTCTGATCACAACCCGAAAGTTCTTCTCATACGTTCTGTATGTAATATAACATTATTACGATCACGAATTAGAAATTATCAATCTTTTAAATTAGAAATGTAATGCAATATTTCTTACTATATATATAATAATATAAAAAGGGTCTGCATACACGATGAATTAATTCTGTAATATACAGTGTACATGTATTTCTTACAAAATCAACAATTAGTGTTCTATAATGACATGTGCGTCATACATTTTCTTTTTATACAATATTAGTTAAAATAATGCTGTATTTTATATTTCTAAAATCATAGATTAATTAAGTTATTTCAGGAATTCTAATATCAAGGTAAAATATTGTTATAAACATTTCTTCTTGTGCAATCGTGATATCGTAAACTTATACTGAACTACATTTTTTTTTTTTAAATTCTTGATGTTATTTTACAAATTATTTTACTCCGAAAATAATAAAAATGAAAACGAAAATACATTTTGCCTATTGAAAAGTATACTACAGTCTGTATATCATATACATTGGCGGCAAGTTAATATGAAGTACGTATACAGGGCGATAAATTGGAGACTAAATAATAAGCCTGAAGTCAATTAAGGCCTATACAATCTATCAGGATGATTTCCATTGTGGTAAGAGACATCATTTGTCGCACCCTAAGATCCTCTAGAGGGTCTCCTTAATAGTCTATCCAGCTGCTGAAAGACAATTCGCTACTGTAAGATTTACGAAATTGATATTTCAATTTTTTCCATTATACAATGACAATAACTTATTTGTATTCCCAACCTCGTCTGGGCGAAAACTAATACTTTCGGCGTTCTGGGGTTATAATATATATTGTACGTAAAGAAATAAGTTTCGTCTCGAGTTAACCTTTAACAATAGATGCGTCACGCTTTGTTTTACGTCATAAATTATCTTAATAGCATTCTTTAGATTTACTAGTGATCGACGGAGATTTAGAACCCTAATATTTTGTAGCCCTCTCTACTCCCTGTTTTCGATATACACAATGCTAATTAACAAAACACTTCAGCATCTGATTGCAGCTGTCATTACGTCGCAAGCTCACGGTTTCCGGTAATTGAATACAACTGACTTGAACGAATTTGTTCGTATAAGAGGAATGTCATGTAATCAAGGATTGTATCAATGAATTAGTGAGTCTCTAATTTGGTCATACAAAAACGGCACTAGAAGATATAAACCTCTTTTTTGGAGCCTTTGGGGTTTTGCTCAGTTTGAACGGAAAGAAAGTTATTTCAGACTTTGTGTAATATTCCTTCCTATTTTTTGTCATCGATACAACAGATAACGGCGTCCCATCACTATCTCGACATTTAAAACTTCCTCATATGTTGCTAATGATGCATTAACAAAAAGTACCTTGGGCAAAACATAAAAACAAAACAAAAAAACAAAAATAAATGAATAAAAATGTAATAAAAAAAGAAAAAGAAAAGAAAAGAAATGCAAATTCACATTACTGGTTAGAATATGATTAGGGCAAACGTCGGTTTGTGAATTAAATTGAAAGAAAGCTATTGTTATCTGATCAGGTGATGCTGACAATCCATGCAGACAGCTCGGGATGGGTACTGCAGTGTCTTGCTGTAACGTTTATGTAAACTGACACTACAAACAAATTCGTCGAGGAAAGGAGGTTACTTCAGCTAAATAGATACGCGGAGGTATTAACAAGGTGGCATATGACTATCAAAGACAGCTCGATCTAAATCCTCAAATTCTCTTGAATGCATTGACTGTATAAATGTATTTCACTGTAGTAACGTATCGTAAGGGGCCCTATTAGTTAGAGTGGGCGTGACTTTGCTTTATTGTGAAACGTATAGAAGAATATGACAAGCATGTTTAAAGCATAGTTACAGATTTTTGTCTGAATATCCATTGAATTGTAATTGGATTGTATTTTATTTTATTTCGATGATTGTCAAAAGTTAGTGTTCATTTTTGCAAAGTCTGAATAAATGCTTAACAAATTAGTGTAAATGTACATCATTGTATAATGTCAAAATATTGAAATCAGAATAAAAGCTGCCTGGAATAGATTTTCAAAATGATCACCGCTACCCGTAGACAAGACAAATTATTTGGAAGTATGCTAACTTTATATGAGAAATATCACTCTGTTACCCTGATCTAGCGTCATTATAATACTAGCACGTGACTTTAAATGACACGTACAGCTTTCACTAGATTATGTACCTTAGGAGCTGTCACACCTAACCGATTTTGGTCGCCGGAGCCCTACCGGAGCACAAATTTTGCGATTTTTGAGGCCCTTCACTCTACTTTCACCGCTAGGATTCGCTCATCAATACAGTATTTCATAGGTCAATTCAATGAACGAGTCGTTGTTTGATTGGACACTCTTAACTATTTACATTAGAAACGTTTATGAAGCGATGCGATGGTAACGGTTTGGAAACATTCGCACGGTAAACGTTTAAAAGTCGAATTTCGAATGCGAGGTTGATAGTTAACTTCCTGCTTGAAACAAGCGTACATTGGACCAACCAATATAAAACCAAAAGTATATCAGATTGCTTTCAACGCTTACAAATTTGAATAATAATAATTCTAATTCCAATTCTTATATACCGCTTTGTCACAACCTAGTTCGTAGGTCGTCTCAAAGCGATTCACAAATTATTATCCGTGGTTGCAACCAGCCAATACATTTCTCAACTCCCTGGGGAGCATACAGCCGGAGCTGCCATTTCGGCGCTAACAGCTAGCATTCAACAATTCTAGCACTGCCCAACCACGTACTCATTTACAGCTGAGTAGACTGGAACGACCGGAGTAAAGTATCTTGCTCAGAGATACAACACATTGCCGTGCCGTGACTCGAACCCGCAACCCTTCGGTCACGAGCCCGGCGTCCTACCACTGGACTACCGTGCCTCCTTAAAGAAAAACCAGATAGCAACTATCGTAAGACTAACCAAACATCATATTTGAAATGATTATCCCAGTTGGCGTGTCATCTAGTCTACATAATTATAATCATAATATTCACAAGTTTCTATACTAGCGCATGACCACTGACACGTGACACTTCGTAAGTACCCGGATTAGTTCAGGAACGGTGGAAGTTGGAGTGAGCATTTCCTGGTCAAAGCAGGCAGAGTAGTTCGTCCAGGTCTGGTTGAAAACAGGGTGTATAAACCATCGACCGTCCGGCATGCACTGTTTAGTGGCAACATCTAAACGGGAAACATGGACATAGTCAGTCATTTTTCAAATGGTATACCTGATCACTTCACGTTTATATTCTAAGTACATTTATATAGCCTCGCAATGATACATCATCTAAAACTATCTAGCTCAAAAATGTGTTAATATTTGGCTTTTCTATTTCTTTAGATTTTCTATTCACGACAGCAGCGCTAACAATAGATCAGCATTATTTATGACAACCAATTTATCATTATAGGGTAATTCTTGTAAACCTCCGCAAATAAGCCCATTTGTCTTCTTAACCATACTACCGCACTAAACATCAAACAAACAATTTATTAGCATTGTTGATAAAGGACCTCCATATGTCGCTTACTCTAACGAGTCGGACAAGTAGCGAGGCATGTGCCACGTGCACCTGTTGTGTTAAAGCGCTGCATTGACTTGGAATAAACACAGAATAAGCACGTTCCTCTGACAAACAAATCATGGTCTGACAGGTGTTTGCCTTTGATGTGCCGCATATTGTTAACAATGTCAATATCATCCACACAGTTAAGGCTGACCTTAGCGAGACATGACCAAGTACCATGCGCAATTAAAGACCGGGACACCTCAAAGTAAAATTTAAAAACAACGTTCACATTGCAAATTATTTTTTACATCATTTCTTTCAAATTGTTTAAATACTTTCAGAGTCCGGATGTTTAAATCCTAATTACACATTGCAGAATAACAACTAAAAAGACTAACAGTTTTTCTCAAAGTATATTTTTAAATAATGATCTGAACAGTTCAATGTTTTTTTATGCTAGTATTTGTCTACAGATATCCATTTATGATCTTGAATGTTATTTGTTTTTAAAATGCCCACGGACTTTAAATACAATTTATCTTATCCCTATCTAATCGATTCACACACAGTTTTAATTCAAACTTGTAAAGACTTGAATCTGTACAAATACCAGATGAACTTTGGTCAGTATTTCTGTCCGTCGACATGAACTCAAAAAACTGATTATTGTTGAAATCTAAAATGCATTCGAAGCACCATCGGCTGTGCTGGATATTAGTGAAGTCTACTTTAAATTCTATACAGCATTATCTATTTGATTATAGCTGAGCATTATATTGTACACTGCGCACCGTCACTTTGAATGATTTTTTTTTATAGTTTGATATTAAATGTTTAATACCGTAATTATGTTTTTACTTTTTGGTTATTACAGTTACTTTTCATGATATATTAATTTTCTAAAACTTGATCTTGTTCATAGCGACATATATACCATCCTATTGAGACTAAACTGAGGCCAATATCCTCTTTCGTCATATAGTATTGAAGTTGATCCTTAGAAGTTGATCCTTAATGATGCTGTTAAATTTGTAATACCCGACTTATGCTACGTACTATTAACATAGAATCCATGAAAATAGTGCGGACAAGGCATCTGGGCATAGGATCCAGGCTCCGTATCCGGCCAGCACGCAATTTCGTCCCATGTCCGGTTACAGTAAACTCCTGAAAAGAAGTATTTAATATTATCTTTTATTTGTTTCACAATAACTATAAATAAAAAAAAAAAATCATCTTATGTCCAGGATAATTGTTAGCCCAGATGGAAGCACACAGCCGGTTTAAGTTTGGGGAAAATGAAGTACCCAGAACAAATCCATGAAGGAACATCACATATTTAATTTCATTTCTGTTGATGTCTGTTTAATAACTAAAATTCAAAGTAAATCAACTTATTCTTCATTGTCATAATATCCTTCATTCTCTCGCTCGTTGAAAGGCGTAGCAGAAAGGGACAGATTTTATCAAATCAATAAATATAAAACATTTTTAAATTAGACACAAAAATAGTTGTAGTTTGATTCTGTTTGAAAAAGAAGACATGAACATTTTAATAGTTTATTACGTTTCGCAAATCAAACGACAAGTATACGTTAATGGTTACTACAGAAATGTATGCTTGACCTGCAGGTATGATCATATTTAGATAAAGAAGGGGGATAAATCGACTTCCAGGTGTAGTCATGTTTAGATAATGGTAGGCACACATTGACCTTCACGTGTAGTCATGTTCAGATAATGGTGGGGACACATTGACCTTCAGGTGAAGTCATGTTTAGATATTGGTGGGGACACATTGACTTTCGGGTGAAGTCATGTTTAGATATTGGTGGGGACACATCGACCTTCAGGTGTAGTCATGTTTAGATATTGGTGGGGACACATTGACCTTCGGGTGAAGTCACGTTTAGATAATGACGGGAAACATTGACCTTCAGGTGTTGTCATGTTTAGATAATGGTGGGGACACATTGACTACCAGGTGTTGTCATGTTTAGATAATGGTGGGGACACATTGACATCCAGGTGTTGTCATGTTTAGATAATGACGGGGACACATTGACAACACCTGGATGTCAATGTGTCCCCGTCATTACCTAAACATGACAACACCTGGATGTCAATTTGTCCCCACCATTATCTAAACATGACAACACCTGAAGGTCAATGTTTCCCGTCATTTAGATAATGACGGGAAACATTGACCTTCAGGGGTTGTCATGTTTAGATAATGGTGGGGACACATTGTCCTTCAGGTGAAGTCACGTTTAGATAATAGCGCGGACACATTGACATCCAGGTGTTGTCATGTTTAGATAATGGTGGGGACACATTGACATCCAGGTGTTGTCATGTTTAGGTAATGACGGGGACACATTGACATCCAGGTGTTGTCATGTTTAGATAATGACGGGGACACATTGACCTTCAGGTGTTGTCATGTTTAGATAATGACGGGGACACATTGACATCCAGGTGCTGTCATGTTTAGATAATGGTGGGGACAAATTGACCTTCAGGTGTTGTCATGTTTAGATATTGGTGGGGACACATTGTCCTTCAGGTGAAGTCACGTTTAGATAATAGCGCGGACACATTGACTTTCAGGTGTGGTCATGTTTAGATAATGGTGGGGACACATTGACATCCAGGTGAAGTCATGTTTAGATAATAGCGGGGACACATTGAGCTCCAGATGAAGTCATGTTTAGATAATGGTGGGGACACATTGACCTTCAGGTGAAGTCATGTTTAGATAATGGAGGGAACACCTTGACTTTCAGGTGTGGTCATGTTTAGATAATGGAGGGAACACATTGACCTTCAGCTGAGGGAACCCTTTTATTCAATGAAGTAGATGGGGATATGTGAATCACAGATACTAATTGTACGAGACTCTTTTATATAGACCAAGACGTTTATGGTCTCAGCCATCCTTTCGAGAAATGTACAGGACAACTTGACTGTTAAACCTAAAAAATTGGGGATGCAAACATATTTTAGGTATTATTTAATTTCATAGAGATATGTTGAATTGGAGTAGATATATCTTTAAGTTAACAGATACATATTTAGTTTAACAGAGATATCTGTAAAAGAAATTGAGTGAATACAAAAAGTCTGATAAATAAATAAAGATACCTATATGAGTATATAAACGTGATAGTTTAAAAAGTTAACTTGGTTTGTCATAGACAATCGTTTCCAGGTCTCATATACAGGCATCTTTAAGTGTCATAGACAAGCATCTCCAAATTTCATAAACAATCATTTCTGAATCTTATAGACAAGCATCTCTGAATCTCATAAACAGGCATCTACAAATGTCATAGACAAGCATCTCCAAATGTCATAGACAATGCATCTCCAAATGTCATAGACAATGCATCTCCAAATGTCATAGACAAGCATATCCAAATGTCATAGACAATGCATACGTCTATGCTGTTTTGACTCGTATGCATAGATATATATTTGGGCAAAAAAATATTAACGATAGTGTAGGCAAAAAGGTTTGTCAAATTTTAAGGGCGACCACCCTACATTAAGACAGGAAAGTGGAAATTAGCATTTAACAGAGTTTAATAGTAATCATGATGTATTCATATAATAAAAAATACATAACAAAACAGAAGATAAATAAATAAAATATGTTGTTGTAATTGCATTTCCCCTCGGTTAGCTTGTAACCGAAGGCTAACTATAGTAATCAATTCGTATTGAATACGTGAGGTCAAGTGAATTAATACTAAAAATCTTAATAAATGTAGTGAGAAAAATCTCATGTCGTAGTTGTTCGTGTAAACACGGCGTGAATAAACTTCGAGTGACGAGTTTTGTACGTCAAAATAGCGGACGGTGTCACACCAGCTCAACCGGGTAGAAAATTAAGATCAAAGATGGACATTATTGAATTATGTGACAGAAACTGGATAAAAATATTGGAACGATGGTTATAAATACAAATTAACAGAAAATAATAGTAATAAAAGGAGAAATAACGTCACGTGAAGTGAACATGTACATGTGCCTGATGCTGTATAGGGGGAATAACGTTTTTAAATAAATCTAATGCAGGCGATGTTCTGACAGTTACATCAAGTTGTTTCAAAGCACGAAGACTTGAGGGTAGAAATGAGGTGTTTTGAAAGTCTATAACTATAACTAGGAGTTAAAAAGTTATATCGAATTCGTAATGGAATGGTGTATTTTGACCAACTGTATGCGTTATGATGTACCATTGTGAAATTCTGGAGTTATTGGTATAATTGTGTTAATAGTTTATATACAAAATATAGATGATGTTGATCTCAGAATGTAGATTCTCAAGGGTGACCTAACTGTACTGGATGTAATTAAGAATACCCTTTAACAGTCTCCCGACGGTCGTGTTCTGTCTGGCACTACATACATGTACATATATATATAGAGTAGCGGGGGCCGGTAACGAAAGGTCAATAATTAATTGGTCAAGCCTAATTAGGTTCGAGCTTGTTTAAATAATTGTGGACAAAAACCTGCGTAGGAGATGGTAAAAGACGGTTCGTTATTGATATCTAGTATACAAGTTTGAATTTTACCTTGTACTATAGTCTCGGTAAAATGATTTCGGAACGAGCTGAATATATCTGATATGAAATTGAAAATAATGTTTTAGGTCCTGTATATAATTAGTTATGGTGATTCTACATCAGGTCGTGTGATAGTATGTTTATTAGAAATATTTACACATGATTGTGTATCGTATTTGATGTTTACATCTTCGTTCAATTCACGAGAAATTAAACGTCTCGATATTGTACAATTTACTCAACAGGTAAAGATGGAAGTTGAAATTGAAATTATTTCCCCCCGAACAGTTACACATACTATTGATGGTGACTATAATCAAAAGCTTGCCCAAAAACTTTAACCAAGCTCAATTAGGCTGTTTTTGGGCCCTAAAATATGAAAATATGGTTCAGCACATTGCTTACACTCCATATAAATGCTTCAACCTTCTAATAGACAACAGTTTGTCGCCGACGGCAGGTTGATCTCATTACAAAGATGTAGCCGCTATATTCGTCGAATACGTTCGCTAATAAAACGTATGAAAGCGTCATTGTATTAGCGAACTAATATTTACGATGCTGAAATCTACATTACGTTATCATGAAAGCGAACCTATATAACGCTTACATTTTACGTGTTTAACGAATCATGCGATTTATTAGCGTTATCATAAATCAGTGCATCTACGCTTTCCTCGTGCAAAATGTACTCAAGGAAAACCTTAACATCTATAAATAGCGCTCTTCCAGAATTAACTTATTTCATATATTTTCAAAATAAGTAAGTTTTAATTTAAAATTTTTGTATGCATACAATGTACATATTCTTATCGTACTTCACTCGAAGCGCCGTCCTTAAATGACCATAGCTGTTGATAGGACGTTAAACAATACTAAACTAAACCATCACTCGAAGCGAATGAGAAGAATTATAAATCAGAGCGCGTCTTAGATTACGAATCGATTGATAAGTTAATATCGATTCACAACTCTTTGGCACTGATCAACGAACCACTGATACTGGATAGCTAGTCCTGAGTTATGTGTGAAAGTCGAGAAGCGATTTACTGTCAGCACCATCTGTTGTATTTTTACACAGCATTTATAACGACACTTCATTATCGTAGAATTACGATCCTCCGATCAGTTATGTTCAGGGACCGCATTGATAAGTCAATACGTAAGAAATAAATCTCGAAATCCCTGCATCGATCTGTCTGGAATGACGGGGGTTCTATCGAAATATTATTTTACTTACAAATATTACACACAGCAGAATTTAAACTAACATACCATAACTGCCCCCACCCCCACCCCACCCCATCTCTACTCCAAAAAAATAATCGAAAAAAAAACGAAACAAAAAACAGATGAATTTGGGGGGTTATTATAGGAAACAACTATATTATTACAACAAATACGTTATTCTGGCTTGATACAAAATAATAAAAAGACATTAATCCCTGAACACTATTTCAGGGCTGTTCTGTACAGAAGCTGGGTAGTGACAGGTAACGTTTGCAGATGTTGTGTACATGTACCATAATAACACGGACACATGTAGCGAATAATTACGTATTATCACAGTATTTCGTAATTACAATAATTTTC